TGTGATGACTCATGCCAAATGTGGTTAACACTGCCCACTGACACAGTAATACATTTGCTATAATACAGCCAAAAAACTCAAATAAAACCATTCTAAAAGCCTGTATCACAAAAATTTAAAAAACGCCTAAGGGTATTTGCCCACTGTACCTCCATACCAAATTTCAGATCCTTAGGCCCCAAAATGAAGAAGCTGAATCCATTTTAAAAAATGGCAGGAGAAGAAGGAGAAGGAGAAGGAGAAGAAACATCAGAAAAAGCAATATGGGTTCACCACCACTTCGTGGTGTGGTGAACCCATAAATATGGGATTCTTTCCGATTAATCGTGATATACAACCATAATTATGGAAGTTTTCAAAATCACTTTTCAAAGTATCATGCATTTCATAGCTTAAATATACACGTATTCTCCTAATCAATTCTTGAAGATTTCCCAATTGTTTCTATTAGCAGTAAAATATATTCTTTCTTTATACTTACTAACATGTGGTCGTATTTGTAAGGACAATGGTATAGGTACATGTATTCGTGATAACGTCCTGATTTTTTTAGTCGATGGTTTTCAATCATGTTAAGCACAACAGTCATGTTGATAGAATTCAAGTGTTTAATTTCAGGGCTATAGGCCGCTACAGTATTTCCTATTCTAGCCAGTTATCTAGCACAAATATTGCTATAAATTCTAGCTACAAATAACATACAAAATGTAGATACAAAAGAAAAAAAAGTTGCTATGAAAAGATTTACAAACACAAATCTCCTGTATGAAAAATACCTCCACCAAAACCAGTATCTCATTATTAATTCGAACATACAATATATGACAGTTAAAACGACTAATATTGTCTAGACTTATTCTATGGCTGTAAAAATGAAGACTGCATAAGATGTCTTTCTTGTCACATATGTAAATTTCAGACCAGAAATATTCAGTGTTTTGAGTTAATTCACATATGAAGTAAGTCATTAATTGTTTTGCACTGCATCGATTTGCACATATTATTTTTTTTACATGATTGTTTCTAAACATTAACAAATCCAGACCGAAAAGTGTACTTGGTTTCGCCATATTTCTTATGTTACAGTGTTAGTTCTTTCGCCTATACCAGGCTCCAGAGGCGGCTGGAAAAGGAGAAATTGGCCAAATAGATGTCGAGGAGTTAGTCCACTAAAAGAGTACAGATTCCCGCTCTTTAACGGACTAACTCCCCTGGTATGTTATTTATTCGGCAAATTTCTACTTTTGCCGGCCGCCTCTGAAGCCTGGTAGAGGCTATGCGTTCTTGTCTAAGTTAAGACTGCCTTGTCAGCGGGGTAGGAGTAGTAGCCTGAGTCCCAGGCGCTGACCAGCAGCCCGCCGGAGATAAAGGCCAGCCCGGCGGCGATCCACTCCAGGATGAAGGACCAGCCGTAGTGCGAGATGTGCCCGACCACGGGGTCTCCTGTATAGGCTGTGTACACGATCACACCGCACAGCAACAGGAGACCTGGATGGGAGAGGGAATAGTTATGGAAGACTGCAGTGTGATAATGCATGACTAATAGATATCCATTGATAATCGTCGTTCAATCGTCGTAATCTGTATAACTTTTAATACAGACCTGCACATAAAATGTCTGTTTGAGAAAATTAGGAAACCTGGCGTATATTCAAATTCAATTGTGTCTCTCATTTATGGTATGAATAGAGTTACCACAACTAGGGGATAAAATATACTCTTTCAAATGGCATATAAAACAAAAAGTGACATATATAAGTGATATGCTTCAAAACATGATGCTCTTGAATTTTTTCTTTTATTTTACGTTTAAAGTGATCCGATATATATGCATAAATTCTAGTATATGGTAATGTTGTTTTGGGCATGGCCACTTGTAACGCCCCATTATGCTGAGGTCACATTTCCAAACCGGGGCCGATTAAAAATCAACAATGTATATCAATAATATGCGCATTATCAATTTTTTCAACTTTTTTGTGCTTTCTTGTCTTTTATATAATACTTTTCGTTCCATATGTAAGACTGCCCGGCCGGGCCCGGGTTTGGAAATATGTCCTCAGCAGTATAAGGTGATTGTCTGATACGTACCGGCTACGATCATGACGATGCCTGACACCAGCGGCCTGTCGGCGGACGTGCCGTGCTTGGCCGTGCCTACCACCGCCATGATGAACGCCGCGAACACCAGCAGGAGACCGAACAGGGCGCAGAACCGAACCCCGTGGAACCACATGCGGCTGTCGGCTGGGTCTGGGCGGGAAGAAATCAACATGTTTGTTATCAAAAACCAAAACAATCATTTAATGCAGAAATAAACAGTAACAATCAAGCATGAATTCAGTGCGGCAAACAATCGTACAGGCGACTACGAACCTTGAAAGGCATTAAAAAGATGAAGTCACACTTCCAAGGACCAATAGTACAAAGAAGCAGAAAAACTCTTTAGGGTTACGTATCTTAAGCTTGCAATTGGTACAGGGAATGGCAAACCTTTAGAAAACACTTCTAAATCGAGTTGAGATTGCTAAATCCCATGTTTAACCGAGCGTGAACTAAACAAAAAGTTGTGAGTTTGTTATGACCAATGCTAAAACTTAACTGACTGGAGAGCACTGGCAGAAAACAGAACATCCTGGAGGGACATGGCTACAGCCGCCATGCATCTACCCTGATGCTTGTGGCTTGATAAAACTCAACCTGTCCCACGGGCGGAATGGAACCTTCTCTCGTCGGCTATGTAGGATGGCCGGCTGTATTAAATAACGCGTTAAAAACTCTTCCCCACCGCCGCGGGGCCTGCACAAGAGGCTAGGGGAAACCAACAAAAAGTCCTTGAGTCTTCAGCCGCAGGTAATTACAGAGTCTGACCAACCCCGCCTGTTCACCGACCCAGAAAGGAATTACAGCCGCCATTCTGGTGTTTACACAAAATCTTAGCGGAAACACAACAACAGTGTCCATTACAGCTGGGAACGCTGTGGAATAAGATCTGCACTGCGGAGCTACACGTATGACGCGAAATTTAAACTACAAACCCCTAAAAATGCACTTTAAAGTTTTATAATTCAAGTGAAATAACGTATATGAAGACCATGATGTTACAAATAGGAATGCAACGAAAGGTCAATGTTTGGTTTGGTTTGTGCAGTAGCGAAATCAAACAATTGAAAACAAGCACTACTTGAAACCAGCGCCTCAGGGCTCAATAACTGCCCATGGCTAGGAGCGACATATCGTAAACATCTCACAAACAAGCGTAAGATATTCGAATTCAGGGACGTTGACAAAAATACTTCAGATGCACACATGACTAATTACGAGAGAAATTATTTTGTTAATCCTATTGTCACGGTAGCTCGCATAACTGTGCATCTTACTTTGCTGATAATGAGGGGTTCTTACAAGTTTCTAAATATACATCTCGAACTGCTTAGTACGTTACAGATCTTTTCGCTTAATCGACGCTTGGGTGACTACTGTTGCTCATTGGTTTTCGTTCGTTCTTCGAAAACACAAATGACAGAAAATACCAGACAGCCCCCCACCCCACCCACCTGTGAACATATGTCGGATTCCGTCGTGGGACAATTCAAACTGCACGATAGACGGACCGTGACGTGGGTCAACGAAGGGCAGGGATCCGCTCTGGGTATCATATAACATGTAAAAAAAATACCCCTATATTAGCCTATAAACTATAGATGTATATGGTACAGTTACCTTCTGGTCCGATCTGTTTGCAGCCTAGCGTCCAGTCCCACCAGCAGCGGCGGAACAGCCCGTCCTCCCAGTACCCGTCATAGGACAGCCAGCTAGTGGACGAGATCGCCACTACTGCGAACACCAAGGCGCAGAAACCAGTCACAATCCCCGCGATTCGGTAGCCTAGTCCGTGTACCATGTTGAGGGGTTAGAATTCGTACTCAGTCCTTGGAAAAATGCTACTGGGAACCTTGGTTTGCAGGCTTCCTTCTGCAGTCTTTGTCTGTCGCAGGTTGTCCGAACTAAGATGGCGGACGGCAAAAAAAAATCCAAGAACCGCGTAACCTGAGAAGCCCTGCACCCAAACGTTCACGGGCGGGTAAATTCAACAGAAAATGGCAGAAAAGGTCACGATGACTGAAAAATAAGGGCGTCAGCTTTGTCCCAAACCGTCACCTCTTCTCCCAGACGGTTAAATTTGTTGTCGGTTATGGAACTGGTAGGACGGGTTTTGCAGAACGGGCGGGTCTACTCTGTCACGCAGGTGCGAATTGTCAACAATTGAACAAAACCTAAGAATAAAACCATCTCGCTTGCTAACTTCAACCCATAACGACTTCTCTCAGTATTGCTACGTATTTCTGGGAATGTTTGGTCGGTTTGATCAATGTGGTAGTATTAACAGGTTGTTGTTTCTAATAGTTTCCCCCAGTGACACCCCCGTGCCGTGTGTAGATGGTACGTTCCCGTGCGGCTTGCAGTGCCATCCCCTGCGGCAGGTAGGCCGGGTATTGTTCGTGCCGACTCACCTGTGACGTGACCCAGCACTAACACCGGAACACGCACCACTGCGAGCGCAGGCGCGGGAAGATGTTTTGAAGGGCATACCAAACCCGTGACGTCATGGCGGATTCGCAGGAAGTTAAACAACTAAGCACGTCGGCAAAACGTACTGCGTCTGCGCAGAACCCCGTATTTTCGCGTTTTTCGTTGGGTTTTTGGTCAACGTTGCATCAAAATTTTGCCTGTTGCAGAGGATATTCTTTCCGACACAACATTTGGAAACAACTGTCGAAATGCTAACTTTATATGAGCGAATACAACCTTATATGAGACATTCTGCCGAAGTACTATGTACATGTACATTTGCGCAGGTGCAGTACGTTCTGCCGACGTGCTTTAAACAACTAGTAGATGGAAGACTGGTTTGAAACTACGGTCAAATGAATATAAACAAATAAATGTGCCTTTATACTGAACTAATCATTTTTAATGTTTAAGGCCATGTTGATTATATGGATGACATCCGCGCGCGCATGAATTTTCGTCCGTTTCCCCTCCCAAAAAGTATTCGACAATACTGTAAGACGTACAAAATGAGCGATATATGTCGTATGTTGCAAAAGAAAAGTATTGGAAAACCAATGGATACCAGTGTCATAAAAGGCCAAAATCAATTCAGGAAAAGAAGAAAATGTGAAGAAATGAAAATGAAGAGTCTATTATTATTCGTCATACCATACGTGTGTTTAGTCATTTGTTCAACCTTTATGACCACGTAGATTTCGATATGAAGGAAACTTTTTTTGCCAAACTTTTTTTATTCGCACGCTCGCGTCAGTTTTGGGGTTCCCAGGGGATGCCATCTATATAATCAAATCAACATGGCCTAAGCGCATTCCAGTATTTCCCAAGCTCTGTTGTCAACTGGCCGTACGTTATGATGATGCAAGTTCTTCTCCACTGAATGCAGACTACAGTTCGCAACAAGTATGATGTTTTTAAAAAAACACAGGCGACGATTTTGTGTTTACCTGTTTCGTTCTTGATAAATCGTTCTTTTCATACACGTACACATATAATTTGGAAAGAATTTATAATTTCTGCTACAGTGCCAGGAAAGCCGCCAGGGGTCCAAAATCAGTTAGGCCCAGGCAAATTTATGCTGTGTTTCTTGCAGTTAAAAAATTTGAATCGCTAGATAGGGATTCACTTAATATTTTTAATGTCTTTTAATTTTTTCATGGATTTTTATAATTAGTGATCCAACTAATACAGTGAATATAACACTGAAATGTATAAGTACACTGGTATCTTCAACACTACACTAATTTCGCCCCTAGAGATAAAATAGTGAAACGCGGTCCATGGGTTCACCGTAAATTCCCGAATAAAGTACGCACCCCTTCTGTGCACGGCCGGTGCCACTGTGGACATGTACATGTAGTATATGTATTCTTAAAAACAGTTAGTTCTAGAAACAAATCGTTTTAGGCCGTGTACTATATACATGATTGCATGATAACTGGTAGCGGGAAAGGTTTCGTGTCGGGGCTTGTTTTCATCGCTGGCCGCAGCCGATTTGCAAGACGTCACCCCCGCGTTGATGCTACTGTGGGTGTAGAAGTGCTACCGTATTTAGAATTTGAAACTGCAAAAGGCTACTGGGACTTGCGATTTATAACAGGGGTGAGTGAAAAGTTTGACTGCGTTTCAAATAATCTCTCGTAATGTGATAGTTTGATGTTTTTGTCACAAAATCAAAGGAATAATGTACACTTCAAATATGTATTAATTTGTACTCCGTAAAACTGAGTCTGTTCAGAGGAAAGAAATACTTCCTTCTCGGGGCCAAGGTTCTGGAAAGCTGTCCTCAGCGCTGCCACGACCCTCTCTTCGTTCTTCAGCTGTATGTGTACTTTGCAGGGGAAAAGGATCGGCGTGCACAAGACAACGGGCGCAGCATGATTCAAAGTTTATTTTAATTTACGCCCTTGTTCACGCCGATCAAAAGAAACTGTGACAATTCGGTACGTGCAGGCCCGTGCACGTGGCGACACAGGCTGGCTTCCCGCTCTAGCTGTGGGTTCCCACGATGTGTTGCCAAGGGCAGCGGCACGTACACAGACCTACCGGCGGATCCCACCCACCGGGCGGCGGTAAGATTTTCAAAGACTACATTTATAACTCCGCCCCTATCATTGCTGCGTGCCGAACAGTCGAGTACATCTAACTGGCATTTTTACGTCGTACTGACACATACAGCCCGCTACAAAGTAATTTCCTGTTGCATTTAACGATTTAAAAAGAGTTGTGATACGAAATGAAATATTGATAACAATTTATTTAAGTGAACCTTTGTAACGGCATGGATCATCTTTGTTGAATATTTCTGAGTTCAACTCAAGCCGGAAGTGCATTAGAACCTACCATCAGTCCAGGTGCAACAATTATGTTATCACGTTACGTTACGACGATCAAGAACGTTCACGGCTTGCGGACCATTTCAAATATTATAATTTTATAATGGAAAAAAATCTTACGTGGGTTTATATTTTCGGCCGGAGTTCCACGAGATCGGCGCCGGCTGGCTCGGGAACGATCCCATCGGCATGACGGAGATTCCTCTCTCCTTGCAGAACTAGTTTGGGAAACACTTTGGGATCGTCGTCATTCTTTGTCTATGTTCTACAAAATTGTTCACGGTAATATCCGCCAGCATCTTGAAGACCTAATTACTCCTGAAGTTGCCGTTTCTATCTGTTACGACCTTCGTAATAAGCACAACCTTCGTCTGCCATGTTGATTGATTATATGGATGACGTCCTCTGGGAACAACATTATGATGCGAGCGTGCGACTAAAAAAAGTTTGGAAAAACCTTTCCTTCATCATGAAATCTACGTGCACTGTCATAAAGGTTGAACAAATGGCTTAACACACAGAGTATGTATGGTATGGCGAGTAATAATAGACTGGGGTCCGGTCCATGAACTTGGAGTTAACTTCATGTAACTCTGAGTGCATCTCCCGTAGGCGGCAGAGCGGTAAACGTTAACTTCATGTAATTCTGTAAAGTTTAGTCCCAAGTTACTCCCAAGTTACCACCCCACTCGGTAAATGTACAAGCGACTGTTTGGTGAGTCTTCGAATGTATTGTGTTTCTTTAAAACCCTTCGGATTTGTACCCTGCTAAATCTCAAAATTTTACAGTAAGTCACGAGAAAATTCAAACATTGGGTTGACCTTATTGGAAAACACATGGTTCCGACACCCTTCTGAACAGCCGAATCGCGGGGAGCGATTTCTACCGAAAATGACCGAAATAAAACATGACGTAATGCTTGCAACAGCATGCGGTTGCTGATTGGTCAAATGTTTGTCAGGGTATTATGGGTTGCCGCCTGCTAGCAGAAGCCGGAAGTGAATTCCGCTTCCAAGGATCGAGATGGACTCCAGTCAATTTTCCAATCGTCCCGAAACGTAACAAATCTACTTTCATTTCGACATCGGGACAGTGGTAACGAACACCTAATTTCTTATTTCCTGCGAAACATACCTTCGCTCTCACTGCGCTCAGACAGGCAAAGAAGGTTATCTATTACGTTATAGTGTAGCCTTCTTGGATAGGCGAAAGTAGGTCAATGGCTTGAACTTTTCACCCTTTTCACCCGCGGTCTGTTTGCTGTGTCAGGGAAACAGTTTTCTCATCTCAATATTACAATTAAAATAATCAATGACATTTTGTATTCACCAATCAACGGTCCCAGACTATAGGACGCCCCTAGTTACAATGTCTAAATAATGATCGATGTAAGTCCCGACTTTAAAAGGGTCAACTGCCGGCTCGGAGGTTCAGATCGGAGTTTGAGGACACCAGTTGCCAGAACCCTCCCGGGCCCCAAAGCTTTTGGTTCCCGCCGGGCGCGGGGCGCGGGGCCCGGGCACTTTCCACCGGCCGGGGCTCCGGGCACGATCTCCACTGGCCGGCACCGGCGGCGCAGCACCGAGGAATTACCGGGGAGCTCCGCTGGTATGGTCACCGGACTAGACAGGGGAAGCGCGCCGCGGCAGCCGGCTTGGTCAGCGTGGATTTTTACTTGGAACAAAATAGGTAAGGTCTTAAACTTAGTTGGTTTCTAAAATCTGTTTGTTATAGTTTTACACTGTTTACCTGGTTACCGGTCACAAACCGTAGAGGTACAGAGGAACCTACGAAGGACCGGTTGAAGCTATTAAAAATGTATGCTTTAATGTTACTTCCTAATGTTATAAATGTGCCATAATCGTATCAGTCTAAATTTTGCAATCAAAGCCGTGTTTTTGCAGTGTCACGTCTGCTAGTTGTTGTACTAGTACCCAGTCTCTATTTTTTTTCTGTACGAGACTTGTATGTACTTCGTGTTCTGTATATGTATGTTTAGTAAACTTTCCCCTATTTCTGTTCGGAATTCTTGGTATCTTTCAAGCAGACTTTTTCTAGATTTCTATAACTTTTTCTATGTTATTCTGGTGTTCTTGGATCTCGCTATGTTGTCGTCATGTCCCAGGGTATTTCCTTATTGTGGTTCTAAATGGGACATCACTATGTGTGCTATTTATCACCGACAAAGATTCAGTCCTATAATTACTGCCATGGAGGAACGGTTCTACTAACCCTAGTACATGTATCACTCGCAGTGGTTTTGGGAAATTTTGGTGAGTTCGCTTTTACGATAAGAATTACAAA